TTCTTGATCACTTTGAGAGCTTTGCAGCCCACTTGGTTGAGCTCTCCGATGGCTTTCGGATCTCTTGCTCTCTTGGAAAGCTCGGCAAGCGGCGCACGCGCGGTCGACTTGTAAGTCCCGGCGTGTGAGATGTGGTAATCGCCAGCTTCTTGTCTACGTGCGTGCCCAGCCGCGATCTCCAAGACGGCAGATCTGATGATTTCCTCAACCTTCTCGTCGACATCAGCTGTTTTCAGACACTGCAGCAGTCCAGCGTAAGCCTTGTTAAAATGCTGGTACAAGTGGTCCAGCATCACATTGCGATCATGCGGGGGCACCTTACCGCTCGGCTTGACTGGATTGATCTTGACCATTGGCGCTCCACTCGCCCCTCGGACTCCCGCTTCGGGCCATGGTGTTTTGAAAGCGAGATCCAGCGCAGGGTAGTGCAAAAACGACGAGGTAAGCACATCGGTCTGAGCATATTTGGCCTCGCTCTGTGCCGACGTTGGTGTTGCAGTTGGTGTTGCAGTTGGTGTGGCTGTACTTGTGCTCTGACTTAGACTGATGCCGAGGCTACATTGGCCTTTTGTCCGATTCAGATCGAGTCGGGGTGGCGCCCTGATCGTAGCCTTGCTTTGCTCGCCCAAGCTCCGTGGAGGCACGGAGGCGCTTGAGCTTGGCTGAGACGCACGTAGACTTGGTGTTGGAGCAAGCTTGACTCCAATTGTCGTCTTTCCTCCGTCAGCCTTAGACGTCGCATTTTGATTGCTTGCCATGCTTTCTCTGCGAATTGGCTGCGTACCTCCGCTTTCGGGCGGGGCCAGTCGTGGAGAAGTAAGAGCCCTGGGCTCAGCAGGATTGCCAGCACTTGAGCTTGAAGGCAGCTGCTTGCTCTTTTCAGCCGGTATAGTCTGCTCTCCGACTGAACGGTTGGTGGCAGCGATGCTAGGCTCTTCGTAAGAAAGGGACGCCGTGGAATGCGGGTGCGTGACGCCGACGCTAGCCTCGCTGCGTTTGGGCGAGGGCGAGGTAAGCGCTACACCAGCTGGTCCGCTGGACTCAGGAGGCGACTTTAGCGATGTCTCGAGGATGACAGGGTTATCTGAATACCTGCGAAAGTGTCGGAGCGCTGGAGCAGCATCATCATCATCATCTGCGAATCTCAATCGTTTGCGAGGTTGACCCTCGCCCATGGCCAACTCTGGATCGGGAATGGTGCTTGCAGAGCTGTGTGGGGCCTCAACGCTGGTCTCGAAGTTGTAGAGTGCTGGCCGGGTCGCAGTCACAGATGAGAAGTGTGATGGCTCAATTGAAAGGTGTGAAGAAGTAGCAGGTGGTGATGGGTGGCGAGCGGTTGGCGATACGCGCATCTTTGGGAAGAAGCGCGGGGCATTTGCAGGAGGTACAGGCAAGTCGCGTGGGAGAGAAGGAGCACTGCCTTGTGGCGGCTGGTTGTAGTCGCGATTGCGATGGCGATGTTGACTGAGCTGACCGAGGCCAAATGCTGGATTCAAGGGATCGTAAGGATCGTCCGCCATCTTGGCACGCACAGAGAGGGGCTCTGAAAAGGCGACTGTAGTCTCTCCTTTGCGATGACGTGTGCGTGCAAGAGTGGAAGGAGAGCAGCGTGAAGGCTAATGCGTGCGGAGTGAAGCTTCGGTGGGCGCGCTTAGCCACGACCATTCGAAGTCTTGCAAGCGGCGTAGCCAAGCAGACGCAACTGGGCGGAAGAGCAGGTTTAGTGTGGCAGGGTGAGTGGCGAGTCGCGAGTAGCGAGCAGTTGCTCGTCTCTGCCTCAGCCAACGCTCATCTCGCCTTCGCTGATGAGGTGGTGCGAGTACGCAGTGAAGGAGGGTGGGACTCGACCCGGCGGACCAAGCTCACGACGAACGAGATGGGTTCGCGCGCCCAACACGCTGCTGCTGATGGGCGCACCACTCGTGACTCGTGACTTGCACGACTCCATTCTTGATTGTGATTCTGATTTTTCTTTTTTGGAATGATCGATAAATTGATTTGATTGACGATTCTTGATTCATGATTGACAAATCGATTGACGCGCACGCGCGCCGCGCGTTATCTCGTGACCGCGGCCAAGCGCAGCACTCGTCAGGTGCTATATACGCACATCATCAGCAGCGACTGTAGTCGAATTCTAAAATCCCAAAAGCGACGTTCTGCGAGGGTTTGGCGGGCCCAAAGTGAATCGGAGCTTCAATTCTCATGCATGTTCCATGCACAAGCTGTTTTAGCGTAACTTCTGTTGCGCAAGCACATGAGCAGTGTAGATTGCAATCCCTCGCAGAACTTCCTCAAGCATCAAACAGGCCTCAAACATGCCCTGTTCATCATCCGAGGGGGGTTCTGCGAGCGGGAAACCCCCTCAAAAGGTGAGACAATATTCGAACGGTAGATTTGACGGTGGGACGCATAAATTGAGGGATTATTTAGATCCATCTCCACCAAATCCAATCGCACTTCCCCCTCCCCTCAGCCCCAAGCTTCCCTCGCGGGTCCTCACGCACTTAAGCGCTCTCAGAACTGAATCTCTACCCAAGCATTGCATGTGTATACCTTGATGAAGTCTCACATCATCAAAATTAGCTCGCCAGCATCAATAGACAAGCAAGAGAGCTGTTTGAAGATTGATGCAAGAAAGACTCTCAAAAACTTGGTCATGTGCAAATTCTAAAATACCGTTCGGTAATGTTGGGCAGAACTCTTGCAGAATGCACTCGATTAAAAGGTGCATGAATGCGCATGGGATTTTAGAATTCGACCTGTGAGTAATCCGTGTTTTGCAGTGCCCGCGCTTTGACAGACCATCACCTATGCACGATCACAAACAGTCAGAGTCGCACACGCATCTTCAAGATGCTGTGGCTACTCACAAGTGAGACCACTTCCCATGCAGGGACCCAATAAGAATCACTCAATTAGCATGAAGATTGCATGAGGACATGGGTGAGACACAACAGTCGCGGGAGAAGCCGTACATCTTCAGCAACTCAAGCCTCTCGCCAGAGCTATGATGGCAGGACGATGACAGCGTGGATCAGGCGTGACTCGAGCGAATCAAGGATCACAAATCTCAATCTCACCGCTCGCTGACCAAGACTTGGCTACGAACGTCGATTTGTAGCACGCAGGGCTGCCATCCAATGTGTCGATCTGACCAAGAGCAACTGGCAGTCAGACATGGGTCCACCATCGATCTTGAAGCTGTCATGGCCGCACTTTGGGCGGTTGTGACTCGGCTGTAGAGGTGAGAGCCCAAGGCCAAGTCTGAGTGCTTCTCAAGGTTCCCGCCGCCAAAGAGGTCGTCGAGATTGACAATCACGAGCGAAAGAATGACGCTCAGAGCTTGCATCGATCAGACCTTTTCGCTCATGCGGACCATTTTGGGAATCTCGAGTTCGGAGCACTCTCCCGTCAGTTGGGCGCGCTTCATGTGCTCGTGGTGCAGCCTAAACACCTTGCACGGCAATTCCTCCCACTTCAATTCCTTTCTCGTGCCTGCACCTTCGTCGTCAAAGTCCAGTCGTGCGGGCAGCGACCTGTACACTTCGAAGGTCGTCACCTATCCAGCACGCCATTGGATTGATTGTATTTGTGAATCAAAGGCAGGCGTCAGCGTGATTTGACGGCAGGATAGCGAGGATGACGAATGCAGATTTACTCCAACAGATCATCTGTCAGCACTCGCCTGGTCTGATGCTTGCAGCTCCCTCTTCTCTGTGCCTATCAATCCTTCCACGCCACGCGGAAAGCCAGCATCGAACCATCGCACCCGAGGGTCGTGATCCCTTTCCTCC